AAGATAAATTGGCCTCTACTGTTGCTGATTCATACCATATGTCCAAGCGTCCACAGACACTTCATTGTTCCAGAGAAAATAACCATTAAAACAACTATTGTTCACAGGAAATACAATTCACCTCCCAGCTCTCAGAAGCCAGCAGCTTCAGTTCACACAGCATCATACTTCTCCTTCACGTCTGCCTCAGATAATATTGAAATGTACCACCACACCAATCGTCATCCAAAGTAGTGAATAAAGTGATCTCGCTCTGCAGAAACAGATAGATATGAATAGAGACTCCTATATTAACTGTGGGCTGAGTTTCCACAGCCCTCCACAGTGGGTACTGGGGTAGACACTACACGATTCAGCTCCAACACTGCTCCTACTGTTTACTTTAGCTCTGCGTAGCCCTGGAAACCAGTGCCCAGCCGTACACCCCCTGCAGCCACTGCTAGCCAGGAAAGCCCCTGAGCTAAATGAGCTGACTCTAATTCAGACTGGAGAATTTTAGAATAAATCGCTAAAGCTGGACTTGCACATTTTTCTTTTACAATTCCCATTTTTATAATGCAACAATTTCACTTCCTGCAGTGATGTCATTTTAATGGTCTGATATATTTGTTGGGAACAGTATAAGGCAAAGAGCTGCTGCTCTTGCCCTCCAAAGCCAACTGTATTACTTGTCTTAATTAGTTTTTGGGCAATTACCAATTAATCAATAAGTTAATGAACAGAAAAATACATGGGCTGCTGTTTTAATAACTGATTTTTCATCATTCATCATCACATTACAATCCTAGAATTAGGATTGCAATACATTACAATCCTAGTATTGTAATGCTTATTTTTACCACAAGTGACATTATATTGATGATGAACTGAATGTTGTCAGGTGTGGGGTGTATAGGTGTGTTAAGCTTTTCTTTTTCTTTTTTTTTTCTTTTTTAAACTGGGACCAGTAAAACAGTATACTGTGCAAGCTTTTTGGCCTGCTGCTGGCCTGTTTGGTGACTGACAGAAAAAAAGAAAAAGCAGGTAAACTGACAGATCTTAAGATTACTTGAACTAACAGCTGCAACCCCGTTGCTTTCTAGTAGACATGCCTGTAGCATGCAGGGGTAAGTCTAAAGCTTATTTTATGGTATGGCACATGTGTCCTTAATTGTCTATAGTGAGCCTACCAAGAGGTGTTGTCAACCTACACAATCATGCTCCTGTGCAGTCCTCCAAAAACCCAACAGCATGTAGCTCAGGTGTCCTTACTGAGAGATATCTATTTCACTTCAGCTCTTTGTGTGTTATAACTTTACTCGTCTCCACAGCTGACTGAAGGGTCAAAAACATCAAAAGCTGAAGCAGCCCACAGACTGATTGTACCACATATTTTGGGGACTGCTTCCATCTGGCAACAGCCACTCTCTGCAGGTAGACGGGCTGTTCGTAGCTTCCTACAGCCTGCCAACACACCACCAATAGAAAGCCATGTTCACCCCATAAAAAAGGGGAACAACATTTACCCTACTGCATTTACTTTTAAGTTACTGTTACCATGTTTTTTGCAGATAAAGTTTTATAATATGAAATATAAATCTACTAATAAATTATGCTACATTCTTGTAGATTATGCTACCAGTATAACGTAATTACACATTTATAATGTAATTAAATGGGACTTTTTTGTGGGGGAAATAAATGGACTAGTATTCATATAACTACTACTCAAGTTGACCACTCAAAGCACTTTCTACTACAAGTCTCACTCACCCTATCACACACATTGATATAACGCTATTATCTATGCCTCTAAGTGCTTTGTCTAACACACGCACGCCACAATAAAAGCATGAACTACTGCTCCTGTGGGGAAAATAAATTATGCTGAAAACTGCACAAATGAACTGGACTATTTGTTTGAACATCAGTCTGATATTGCCTAGTGTGATGTTGAGCATTTAGAATCCCCACGCACCACATCCAAAAGCTCATCATTTAAGAACAATCCTATTAACTTTAATTTAAACTGTACTCAACTGCTGCGATCATAGTTTTTTGTTTTTTGAGTAATTTAAAAGCTAACAATTATTATTTCACATTGTAAGACAAAATTACTGTAACCCCTGCTTGGTCCATTTTATTGTGTACCCAGACATCAAACACACGGCTGAAGGCACCATCCAGGATTTCGGGCATTGCTCTCTTTTAAGTGCCTCTTATTATTACTCTGACTAGTTTACATATCATTTGCTTATGCCTTATTAGTGTTCTGCTCTTACTCTTGTTATTCTATATCAGCCTGACAATAAGAGTATATTGTGTGTATGTTTGCTTGTCTGCTATGGATAAATATGCATGTTTTAAAGCAGTTTGCAAATGAATAAACATAAAACCTATGTTAAGCCTTGCTGTTAAACAGAAGGCCTTCCAATGTGAAATGAGTACATAATAATTACAGGGACATTCCTGGTAATATGCACTAGAGTATAGCTGCAGTATACCAGCTCTGTCATCAGGACTTACTCTTGCTGCTGCTACATCTGCTCAGTCTTGCTGAAGCAGTTTCCCTTCTGCCTTTTAATTGAGATGTGAGGCAGGAAGAGAACGCCCTGACTGAGCAGAGACTGGATTTTAAAGTTCATTTGAAACTGAATGCTGTTCAGGAGTCGTCAATCAACAGACCTCAGGCCTAAATCTTTCAGGCAACTTGATTGGTTCTGGCTTTCTCAGCACAAAAGTTTCATGTAGTGATAGATGAAAATAGTAATGCCACCTGTAATCAACAGAGGTAATGTCAACTGGTTAAACACAACGTTTAAGATGCATTTTTAATATCAATAATTTGCATATTGTAACTATTATTTTACTTATTTTTGAGGAGTTGCTCTGACAAAAAATTGTCAGAAAAGTACAGCTTCAGCTCTATGTGTTCCCATTTTTAGCTCCAACAAGACAATACCAGCAGGCAAAACAGCAATTGTTGTGAACGTATCAGTTTATGTACAACTAAAAAGATGTGAGTGACACAAAATATAAAATACCCCTATACATAAGTGTGAATGAAGTAAACTGCTCCGTTCAGTAACTGTACAGCAGACTAACAACACAGCTGTGCCTGAGGCAAACTGTGGGCGTCCACAAAACATGCAGAAGCCATGTTAACCTTCAACATACAAAGGTCAAGAGGTCGCCCAGCAAAGAAGAGAAACTTGATTATTGTACACATTTAGGCCTGAATTTCAAACCACCCAGAGGAGTAGTTTAACTGTCAAAAAATTTACAATGGTTGTACAGATTTAAACGTCACAGAGAGAACGATTACAAAAGATGTTGCTTTTTCATATATATCACAACAATAATATATGTGATACATATATTTGCATTTATTCAAATGACAAGCATGTTGATTGCTGGATTCCTTCTTGACTGTTTTCTCAGACTACCAATCGCTACATAGACATTGGCAACTTGGGCATACAGGACTACACACATGAAACAAGCAACTAATCCCTTTTTCCATTACTCTTTATTGTTTTGCTATATTTATTGGTACAAATGAAAAACTTTTATGCCAAATCAGAAAAAATGACATAAACTGGCATTTTAAAGGGCTCTACGTAATGCAGTCAAGTCATTTATTTACTATACAGGTAAAAAACCTAAAAATATTGTTTTATGTGATGAAAATTATCATTCTTGGCAAGGATTAAAAAGTAAAATTTTCTCTGTTTCTGTTGCTTGGATAGAGCAACATAATTAGTGGAGTACGGAAGCACATTACTATAAGATTACCATATCTTTATGGTAAAAAACTGTAAATTTTACTTGAGGTAAAATGACATGCCCTCCTTTTCTCCCAATATCATCATGCAATTAAACCAACTACAGCCCTGAAAGTGTTGGAACCAGGTCAGCATACTTAAAGTCAAAGTTCATCATGACTGAACCTGGAAACTTGGGAACAAGTACAATCCAATAAAACAGAGTAAATATTACATCTGTTGTTGACACTATAGTGTTCCAACGTGAGGCTGCAGCTTATGATTTGAGCTAGATTATATTTTATTGTTATGTATTAGTAACTGAGTTCTTCCACATGAGTGTGTTGGATAAAATAACAAATAACACTAATTACACATCAAAGGAAGAGTCATCTTTGCTGCTACTAAGAGCTGCCCCATCTTTCACTTAGTTCCATTATCAATTAATCTAACAACTGTTTTCACGACTAGATTTTAAACACCTGATGAGAGCTGTATGTAATGACTGCTGCTCTTTTTATAAAAACAAGTTCAAACAAAACTCATTCCTGTTTCCTCTGAAGATGTGCCCTGTCACATATGAATCACTAAAGTAATTAAGTATTCCTTGCTCCTTGATAACCAGCTGTTTACTGGTTTGGTGCATCAGTCAGTTAAAACACTCTGGAGGTTAACATTTTTTTCCTGAGGCTACAATTATGATCATAACTTACACCTTTAGAGTATCTGGCACTTCACCTTGCTTTGCCACTCACATCAGGCTACAGACATGAAATATAGCAACATAGCTGGGCTAAATATACACCTTCATCTGTGTAGGATTACACTGAAGCAATCTCGACAGCTGTGGTGACACATCATTCCTGTAACTCCACCTCTTTTTGTTCTCCTGTTTTTCTATGTAACTCCCTTCCAATGGTTCAGCCAACTGGAGTGTAATGTCTGGCCAGACCAGATCATATTACTGGCTTGTGAATGTGCAGCAACAGATGGTAGATCACAGGAGGGGAGGGGGACAAAGGAAGAGGAGGGAAGAGAACCAGCAGCCTTAAAATTATAAATGGACTTAAAATTATACCAAAATTGCCCCGTTTATCAAAAAAAACAAAACAACCAAAACTACCTTTCCATGTAATGTCAGGCTGCCATTAAGAGTGTACTTATCAGATCTCACATCATCAAGTACTAAAAAGCTTGATTCCCTGCTTTTATTTAAAAGCAAGTCAGACTTCATGACAACTGAATAAGTTACTTCACCTCTTGCATGCGTCTTTTGGCCCTCTCCAGAGCATCTTCATAGCCTTTCTGCCTCAGCTCACTCAGACTCTCGTAGTACTCCTCGGTGTCGTCGCTCTCTGAGAAAAGCACCTGTGAGAGGATCTTCCAGCCGCAGGTGTCCAGGGCATGACCCAGGTACACCTGCAACTGATAGCACAGGGCGTCCGTCTCCCGCTGTGACATCCCGGGCGGGCCGAAAAGGACAGTCCACACGCCAGACTGCTCCTCCGGGAAAGAGGGCAAACAAGGCTCTAGGTCCGAGTTGACGGCGCATAGTTGGAGGTGGGCTGCTCTCAGTTCCTGGAAGGAGAACAGTCCAGCCCAGCTGAAGTCTTCGCGGTTACTGGCCTCGATGTCACCTGGGTCTGCATCATCCGGAGACAGCGTGACATCCACTGGCTCCAGGATCTCCATATCCGTTATCTTGGGTGTCACAACGTCCCATGTCCCTAAAGTGTGACTTACGCACTCATATGACTTTGAACTACCGGCTTTTAAAGTCTTCCTGTCTGGGTTAGCATTTGTTGTGGGTTTCCCTTTGGGGACAGAGTGCGGTCTAACTTTACCCACTTGGCAGACTCCATCTTTCTTCGCCGTGACGGGACTTTTTGTGTGTTTTTCAGCCACGCAGGCACCGGTGGGAGGAAGCCCAGCGATTGGGCCACAGTCGACGTCCAGTAAAGTGCTCCGTCTCTGCACGGTTCTGTTGTGGCAGGTTATGGCGAACTTTCCCTCGACGTCGTTCCAGGCCACAATGAAAACAAATTTATGTCTCTCTTTTTCGTCGAAGACTTTGGGCCGGACGGACACCCATCCGGACTCTAAGTTATCCTCCATGATGAATGACATCTCATCCAGCCAGTAAAAAAAGACACTTAGATATGCGTTAGCCAGAGGAAAAAAATCTTCCCTGATGTCGAGGCTAAATGCTACTCGTAGCCACCGACAGCAGACCCCACGTTTGAAAAAAACACAAAGTAAGATTTGGCAGAGCTACAGCGAACAAACCGACGAGCTAGATTAAGAGATGACACAAAGGCTTTCTTGCTTTGTTAACCCGCTGTCTGTTGCGTGTAAGCGGCCGAAAGCGCAGCCAACGTCGTTGTCCCTCCTCCAAATGGTCGGATTTGGGATTCCGACATGAAGAAGTTCAAGCAGCCAAACGCACTCGGACACCGCGGTCTAATCGAAGGAGAGAAGTCGGCTTCATATTGCGGCAGCTAATGTCCGTTGCCATGACACCTGGGCGCTCACCTGCCCGATGCTCGCGCTGTCTTGAATGTGCAGCTCTTTGTCCGCTCTCAGACAATGCCGTCGCGCGACGCACGTCGGCTCTCGATGTCACGTGTGAGCTTCTGTTTACAAGCAGAAGGTGCGTGCGTGTTTGTCCGGGGAGGGATTTAACTGGTGACCCCCCCCCCCCTCCCTCCGGTGTTGCATTCCATCTCCACGATGAAAATGGTAAATATGATGCTCCTAGAAAATGTCGATACCGTACTGACATGCAAAACGATCTTTGAGCAAATTGTTAGTTAGTTGACTAATATTTCTTTATCTCTACAAAACTACAAAAATATCTCTTTATCTCCCAATAATATGCATTTTAAAAGACGTTTAATGATGCATAAAATGTACAATATGCTAATGCTGGTTAACTATATCCGCTAGTCTCTCTTTATACCATGCGGACGTGAAATATATCAATTTATCATTAAAAAGCAATGCAAAGTCTAATATTTTATCAGCTGCATTAAGCGTGACATGTCTTTCTATCACAAACTTTTATTCTTTTCACAATTCTTTTTATTTTTTGGATATTTTTAAACACAGTCCAGTTGTACATACTACATCCTTAAAATGTTTTGTTCATTACATTAAAGTGTTTAACGTTTTTATTACGCGTACACTTTTTCCACATGAACCCTTGAAGGCAACATAACAGTCCGTTTCTTTTAACAGCTTAATAAACCAAACGGCACACAGAGACAGAAAACTGTTCCACGCAAACTACTTTTTAATTCAGTAACTTTACGTGTTTAATTTTTAAAAAGTGTTCATTACGAGTTGTACTCTTTTGTTTTTTTTTAATCTCTATTCCTCTGTCTCTTTTCCTCACTTGCATACGTGCACGAGGAGCATAAACATCTGCACGTGGGCAAATCCATGACGCAAATACGTACAGAACGTGTTTAGTGCCAGACTGCGTACGGTAAGCGAACTGGGTCAAAACAGGTTTATGCACCATTTATTCTCTAAGAAAGTTAATTTTCGCATGCAACTTTAAAATCAATCTAGCGACTAGAAAAAAAATGTAGAGTGGGGCAAAGATTACCTTTATGGTGCTTTTAAAGCTACTAGAAAAAACACACAAAACTGTATGTAGAACCAAGTGGGTTAGTTTACTAAGGGCCTTTTCCAAGATCTTGCTGGTGCTAGACTTATATTTAGAATCTTTTCAACTTTTGATTTCCTCTGAGTGCAAACTTCAGTTCTGTTAGTCACTGCAGAGTATTTGTTGAAATATGCCAGCCTTTGTTGACAGTAAGCTTGAGATGGAAGATGTGCGAGGATTCAAAGTACGATGAGGCAAATCTCAAACGTGAATATGAATGTAAAATACAATCAACGGCAGAAATATTGGCATTGATTGTATTTTTTATATGTTTTGTTGTTTTATTATTATTATTTTTATTATATTTGAGGGGGGAAAGTAATCTGAAAATAAATGCATTTCCTGCTTTTTAATTCTCTGCCTCTTCTGGTAAATCTTGTGAAAACACATTGAAAAGACATTTCAATGTAGTTCACCAGGTGAAGGTCATGCATTATTGCCATTAAAATTTGGATCAGTTGAGTCAGTGTGCGGAAAGAATACTTCAGCCTAATAAACACAGGAAACCAGAACTCCCTTTGGATTTCCATGGTTTAAAAACAGATAAGCTCTACAGAGCTTCGTAGATTGTTCCCTTATATGGAAATAGGCACATTGATGTCTGAGTAATAATCTGTTAAATTGACTCGATGTTTCACATTTGGTCTCACCCACTAAGGCATGTTCTCTTTCCAATAAAATAGCACCTCTCGTACACTGCCACATTCCCTGTTTTGACCTCACTTTATTTACTGCTCATTAATTTCCATAGTTAAGGTGTAAACAAAAAGAAAAACTTGTAATATTCCACTTTGAGACCGGTTGCATCATTTATCCTCTTGGAAAAGTAAGATGATTGAGATATAACAAATAAATAGCCCTGCACCAACTTTGCACTTTGTCCTTGTTTTGCTGGTTTGTACTGAAGTTATTAACTGTTAAACCAAACTGATAAAACTTCTTAATTTTACTTCAAAGTCTGATTCCAAATATTTATGTGCACGTCAAAAAGGGTGAAAAAGCACTTTAATTGCAACATAGCAACTTCAGACATTAAATTTGCACTATGGGAAGAAGGCAAACCAGCAGTGGCAGTGTGATGCTTTGGGTAATGTTCTGCTGGGAAACCTTGGGTCCTGCCATCCACGTGGATGTTACTTGCAGACCATGTACACCCTTTTTATGGAAATTGTACTCCCTGATGGCTGTGGAATCTTTCAGCAGGATATAGGTCCTGCCACAAAGGGCACAAAAACAAACAAAAACACATACAAACCCCCCCCCCCCCCCAAAAGTTTAGGAATGGATGAACAACAATTAATTTAAGGATTGACTTGGCCTCCAAACTCTTCAGACCTCAATCCAGTTGAGCATCTGTGCGACAAAAACAAAACCTTTTTTAGGTGATAAGCAACACACCATTTCCTGAAGTTTGACTTTTATAGGTAAGGCTATGTCCATATTAATGCATTTTCGTTTGAAAACTCATTGTTTTCTCTCCGTTTTGGCCTCCCATCCACCCTGAGATGGCGTTTTCCCCTATCCGGGCTAGTGTGGACGTAGTCTAAATGACCCTTCCAAGGAACAAAACCACCAGTGCTGATTTCTTTGTTGCCGTTTGTCGTTTATTGCTGCCCACATCATTGTGACATTACTTGGGTGCTTTCACAAACAACTGTACATTTGTAATACAGTAATTTCACTTTTTTTCTTTAAACAGTTGTGATGGTCATAATAACACTGTGAAGGCTCAGTCTGGAAAGCCAGTTTCAAAGGTTAAGCATATGATGCCAGTCTTTCACATAGTAAAAATGGTCCTAAAAAAGAAAGAACTTCAGCATTTCGATCTTTTTTGGTACATAAACTTTGGGGAATGTGTGAGTATGCCTTCTCACGCCACCCCTTTGCTTCTCCTTGTCAAAGGCCTCAGACAGGAGCTCAGTGGCCTTGGCTGGCCTTGTCAAACAGAGCCTCCAGCTGCTCCTTGGAGGTAGCCTCCTTTTGCTGCATCAGGTCAGCGTGGCCTTTGGTGACTCCCCAGCTATCAGGTGTGGACATGGAGGGGCAGAAGGGGCGGCCAGAGGCGGGCTTCAGCTTCTCCCAGTAGTCACGGCGGGCCCTAAAAAGAGAAATGGCAAGCTGTCCTGAAAACAAAACAGTGGCAATAATCTTGAGGTGCTTTGAGAAAACTGAAATAACATCTACCTAGCTCTAACCCAAGGCTTGGTGTGCAATGACAGGCCACTACCCCAGCTGCCATGCTTCTCAGATCCAGCAGGAAGACAACCTCGCTCCGCTTCCAGCTCCTCAGCCAAGGCACGGATGTGATACGGTTCAAATCCGCAGCAGCCTCCAATGTAGCGAATCCCAGCATTATATGCTTCCCGGGCATATTTATGCATGTCCATTCTGGTCAGGATCCTTGGCTCCAGACCTGTTGGAAGAGGAGTTTATTTTTGAGGATTTCTTAAAAAGAAATGTTTTTATGTGGATTGAGAATTTTTAATTTAAAATTTATTTATTTATTTTTTTTTAAAGTAGGGTAATGACCAAACGGGAATTCCGGCAGGTCGATGAATCCCTGGCAGCCGCAGTCCGGAGTATGAAAGGCCAGTGGCTGGGACATGTAGTGAGCCTTCAGCCCAGCCTTCTCCACACCCTCCTTCATCAGTTTCACAGTCTTCACACAAGTCTCTGGGTCAAAGTGGCAGTTAATGCCAACAATATCAGCACCTACAGAGAAGATGTGCAGAACAGATCAGAACTGAGGCAATAAATTGTTGAGATTGTGGAAAATTCTTGTAAGAAATGGTAGCAATCCATGTTGGTTTCAGCTCAATGCTGGATGTGTCAGTGCACATGGCTGATTACCTCAGCATCTGTTCATACCACCACTGGATGGCAGCAAAAATCTGATCTACACAGTGGCTTTAACAGGAAATCTAATGACTGAACATTAACACAGACTAAGACTTCAAATGAATACAAACTGCATGCATCGAGTTTAAGATGTCAGGTCCATACCACTAACATGCTAAAAATGCTTTCTTGGTGTATTTGGACATTGTGACAAATGAAGTTTTGGACCACAAAAACACCAGAAGTCAAGATATTTTGAAACGTAGACACTTTGCAGACCTTGCAAGTCTTGATTTTTTTTTTTCCCCCCACATAACAAAACGAGATGTCCAAACACCCACATTTAGTTTTGCAGTGCTGTTGCATAATAATATGCGCACTTGTATGACATACCCATGGTAGGCCTGATTGCATTGCTAGACTATATGCCATATGACATAGGACCCGAGCACTTCCCAAACCAACTAAAATTAGTCTTCTGGAAATGTGTAGATCAGCTAAATGTGAGCAAAAGATTGCCAGCATCTGATGTAGGAAACAAAGATTGGCGCAAAGCTTCCACATGTGCCAATGGGAAAATTATACTGAATCCCACATGTCAGCTGAAGATAGCAGGTCCAAAAACAAGCTTGAGCGTAATGTAGCACTAAAACGGGGTGAACAGTTTCCCAGGAGGGTAAACAAGTGCAATGGATAATATTAATTACAGACCCACTGTGTCCCTCCAGTGTACAGCATGCACTACACCCTGACTGGTCCAGCTACACAGAACAAGACCAGTTCATTTTAAACTGCTTGACCTGAATTTACCATAGTGTGACAAAAAAGCAGCTGTGAAGAGAGGTGCACTTAGCTCTGAATACGACATTGAAGCCCCATTAAGATACTGAATACACTGTATGTTTTCCACATGGTTCACCGTACCA